AAAATTAATAATATTCACAGTAGCGATTCCAGGTGATGCTGATGATTTTTTACTTTAATTCGATTCATACACAACTTCTCAATTGATTTATCAGTTTTGATTCTGGGTAATGCGGTGTTTGTTGATTAACCCTGGTGATCTATCCTCCAATGTTGCGACACTTAAACTGTGCAAGGATAAATATATCCATAAATCAATCAGACTTAAATTTCAATTAATCTCTCCTTCCCTCTAAACTTTCTATGTTTCCTTTCCGATCCGTCCATTTCCGTGGCAACATCGCGCGACCCACAGAATTCTGACCCCCGCAACAACCTCCCCCGCCCCCCAAACAGTATCCCCTACGCGACGACACTCACGATCTTCGCAACCTTCCCTCGGCCGCTGGCGAGCTCTCGCGGCGACGGCCGCAGGGGGGCGCCACCGGTAAAAACGACGGCGAGCATGGCGGAACACGGCTCAGCGTAGTACGGCGTGCGGCCGCGGTCGGTCACCGATCCAACGGTCAGCGTGTACACGCTGGACGCATATCCGTCCGCATTACAGTCGTCCGCCGATCCGCCGTTACCAGCCGCCCACAGATACACAGACCCCTTGCCTCCTCTACCCTGCAAACATAGAGATAGAGGTAGTTATTAGTGACCCCTTACCTCCTCTACCCTGCAAACATAGAGATAGAGGTAGTTATCAGTGACCCCTTACCTCCTCTACCCTGCGAACATAGAGATAGAGGTAGTTATTAGTGACCCCTTACCTCCTCTACCCTGCGAACATAGAGATAGAAATGTTTTTCACTCGTGCAAACCACATTTCCAACTCTGTGGCAGTTCGCCGCTAAGCAACGTATTAAGAACGTGCTCATCGCAAAGGCCCGACTGGCTAGACCTACTCTCCAATCACTGCAGGGGGCGCTACTAGTTTGACTACTGCGCATTACCAGCAGTCACGTCTCTCGTGACCCTACCGATGGACGAGAGAACAAGAGAACGCGGGCGCGCGTTACCTCGGCGACTCCGCGTCTCAGGGCTTCGGCCATGAGCCGGCCCGGTCTGTCCATCGTCCGGCCGTTGTCGGTGGGACCCCACGACGTGCTGTAGATGTCGACGTGCTGGTTGTGAAACAGCAGAGCCTGCGCCTCGATAACATCCGTCACCTCGCCATCCAGCATGCGCACGCCTACGCCACGCGGCCGCACGAGAAAGCACAAAGACACGATGAATATTAGGGACGATTAATTATTTATTAACTTATTTATTTAATGATAGTACACTGGTAAAATTTATCAAAACCCCTGTCCAACATGCGCACGCCTACACAGCCGTAGGAAAAAGACAAAGAGAGATGAATACAAACGAAAACATTTTGGATCTGATGAGAAAACGGGTGACACGGGGGGAGGGTTATTTTTCCCGGGGAAAACGCACGTACCTCCGATACGTGCTCCAAATGCCACGCCTACTCCGCACACGGTGTTGTTGGCAACGGCTGCCACCTCGCCTGCACACCGGGTGCCGTGTCTGAAACACATGCGAAAGAGAGCGGCGATGAGCCGAGGAGAGAATTAGGGTTTGTGAATTATATGAACCAATTGCATACATGTGAAAACAACATCAAAGGTTGTTTCGCGCTGCCAACTTTAGGCTATGAAAGTTTTAACTGCATGTGAAAAATCTAACTAGTATTAAAACAACTGTACAAGGCTAATGCTGTAGACTTTTCGAGCCACCTACTAACGGTGATTTCCTACATGGGTCAGCAATAGTTGAAGCTGCGTACTTCCTACAGGAAGTATTGAGTATCTCGCTCATAATGCGTGGCATTAGTAAATAGAACCCAGAAGAAAAAAAACAGTTTCATCTGATGCCTAAACAATGCTAGCAGGTTGACTCAGCTTACCGGAACTAACTCAATAAACGGAACTAATAGAGTGTACTGATAGTGATATCAATGTTCAATTGAGTCGTGAACATTTAGGCCAAGCCTTCGCTGTCTATGTCCATAGCACCCGCAGAAAATAGAAACGCGAATAAAAGTTACACGCCACCAGTCAGAGAATAGGGTAAATACACATTCCTATAGTATACTATAGTAAGTGACACTGATGGATCCAGGGAGCATTCAGGGTTACTATGCCACCCCCCACAACTCCCATCCCAAAATTAATATCAGCAGCTGAGTGGGAGAAACAATGCAAAGCTGTGGTTTAGGAGGAGTACACTTCAAACCTTACTTTTATGAGTGGTTTCCCACATTTTTTGCTCACCAGCACTCAAGCACTAACATGAGCAGGTAAACCTTGCAAAGGTAGCTTAAGACATTAAAGACAATTAATCCTGCAATGAGTGCATATACCTACTCTCGCTGGTGGGTTTTGCCCCCCACCCCCACCCCGTTTGCCCACTCCTGGATCCATCAAAGGTGCGTGATCACTGTTATTTGCTGTACACAAGCTTAGCACACTCACCGGTTTTCTGGTGTCTCCTAAAGCTGCAGAAAATGCAATCAGCAAATATTGGCTTAACAATACACACTCGTTAGAGAGTTCACAACATGTGACAGTTTGTATAACCACTTACTTTAGAGTCGTTGTTGTTGACCGGAGGAACTGGAGCATTCGGTGCAAACAAAGACTGACAGAAACCAGTATTTTTTAAACTAACATTCACACTTCGAAGCTATATATAGGGCTATTACTGTACTGGCCCATGTCGGCAATTCTGAATATTACACGCGGGCAGGTGGGTTAGAAGATACGACTGCCATAATTGCGAGTTCGCGAACAAATGCGCACGGAACGTGACAGCTCACCCGTTCTCCACTGTGTTTCTGGGTGTCGGGTCGTGGTTCACGTCATCTAGATCGTTAAAGTCGTAGCTTGCCTCTGCATCCTACACGGGTGAGATAAATACAACACTGACCACAGGCTCCAGTAGCCTATTTATCAAGCTAACGAAAGCTCTTCAGGCCGCACGTTTGAAATTACGGCTAGCGAACTCAACTGCAACGAAAACAACACTCCTGTCCCACGGGATACAGACATAAATCTGTGCTTTGTTTACGGAACTAATCCGTGTCATTCAATGTAGCCACACAAATGACTGACACATAGTTAGTGTCGTGTATTAAATATTAGTACAGAAATGCAATTATTCTAGTTAAACGATTATTTTGCTATTAAGTATTATAGAAAATGCACTAGCTACACCTAATTATAATATCGAAAGATACCTAAAACACAAATATTTAAATAAAAGACTAAATTAGTATTTTAAAAAGAAACATCAGAGTAGAAGCAAATGAAGAAAAAAAGAATAGAAATGCACGAGTAAATTAGCAAAAGAGTAAAACAAAAAACAATTGGGTAAGTATATATTATATCACAGAAAAACATGTGAATTGCGTCACAAACATACGTAATTTTCCACGAGGTCAGGATGACTGTGGTCAACCCCATCATCCAGTATACAGATGACGACACCCCGTCCCGAGTAACCGCGAGACCAAGCACTCTCTATGTTCAGATCATAACCAGGTGGTCCACCCGTCTGTCCCGTGTTACACTGTCAATGTAGAGAGAACGATTGTAGAGGGCAACATTACACACTATAGGTGTTAGCTACAAAAAGCTTCACAATCACTGTCTGTACTCTGGTATTTTGTATGTCTTAATATGTGTGTATGTACATTGTTATATATACTGTTTTTTGTATGCATTATATTTCTATCAATGATCATATCTGTGTGATAATGGCACTGGCCTTAATTCTTAACTTCAAACTAATGAGACAATTTAAAACCATGGCGATTGAGTTGTAACAGAGCCTACACAAACGTCAATAGCTCCGTATCATTTAAGCAGCCTTTGTATCTTCGAGATAGATCTATAGATAGAGTGAAAGTACTGTACAGAACATTTACTCTGCTCAAACAAGTTGATGGAATAGGTGCGGACATTTCACGCTTAAGTACACATTCCCCTACTGTCACGGTTCGCTAAACACCCACAAGCTTATATATCCGGCTGGACTTATTCGAACATTTCGAGCGGGACTGATTAGAATCATACACGTGTCACACCGTTGTAGCTACGCCAGTCGGAGCTGGTCGGTAATAGCTGGCACTGGTGTTGGGGGATCGGCACGCAGCTTTAAATAACATCCTTCCAACAGGCACAAAAATGATTGAGTTTGTGTAAAATTACCTTAAAAATAGCTATGTGAGCAGTCTACAAATAATCACAACTGATATACTTAGAATTAATTTAAAAACAACTCTGAGTTTAATCTCAACAATAAGTATTTGTGTAAAATCATCATATATCTGATCACATCATACAGGGCAAGTACATGCCAGGCTCGCAATTAACCACGGCGACCGACCGGCAATCTGCCGTCGGTAGCCACTAATCCAATCGCGTACTGCCCCTGCAAATTCAACCCGACGAAGGCAAGTCACCTGCCTTGCCTTTTGTGTAATTGCCGTCGGTGGCCCCTGTTAATCTTATCGCCCTTAGTTTCGCTTTGTTAAAATTTTTGTGTTACTGCTACTTCCATTAGCAGAGGGTGGGTACATGGGTCGGTTTACGGTGCGTACTTACATGGGGCATAATGTTTGTAGCATTAAAAAGCAAGACGATGTTGATGTAACTAATTTTTTATGAGTTTTCCTTATTTTTACAAAATGCCTTTGTGCCCTTCTCAAATTTTGAAGCAGTTGCCTTGTGCCTTTTAAAATTGCCTCTGTGCGCCTCCATTTTACGAGAAAATTCAAGGCGAATGTTCTCAGACATGCCCTAAATAAAAATTGCCTTGCCCTTCTCGTCGCATTAAATCGGCCCTGCGTACATGCCAGTATAGCTGGCTAAGCACCACACTGCTATTATAATAATTTATGCACATTATTGAATGCAATCAACTATAATAGCCGCAGCACCCTAAAATTGTCCTGCCGCTACAACCCTGCGCACATTAATTCTCACAGGTAACCACTGGTCGTGGAAGTTTGATCCTTTGGCAAGCTTAGACGAGCAACCGTGCGAGCTGTGATCAGCTTACGTTTGACTCTGTTATTAGCTGCACTCTCTGGTAAGGCACTGTCTTCGACTAGGGAAGGAGCGAAGATGGATTTCGCATATGCCCATTCCGCTTCCTCCTGATTAAACAGCTTTTTGCTGGCTCCACCCACTCAAACCTGAGAAGCAGAACACATGCTCACACAGTTAAAAACGATAACGCAAACAAAACCTATCACTGCTGGCAGTTATAACCGTACTAAACCTTTACACATGTCGCACAACATCGGATCAGTGTCTTTATATCCTCTCTGCTGAATCGACAGTAACGAAGTATCACAAGTAACATGCATTAACTTTTTGAGTTTTTTTTCCAAAACTTTCCCAGAATATTTTTTGAATATTTCCGAATCCCGAATATTCCTGAATTTTGAATATTTCGCAAATTTATTCAATGAAAAGAAATTGGGAAACATTCCACTACTTGTAACTAATGATGAGTAAGAGTGACACTACACACTACATACTTTTGTTCCAATAGACATCTTCATATAAATACAATTAATGTATATAATGTAAGGCATATCATCTATATTACCATCTATACAATTGATCATGACAACGGAATTGAAAACTTACGTGAGCATTTGACTTGATCGGTCGTGAGATATTCTGTCACCTCTCTCAGATCGCTTGTGTCCGTTGTTATTCCAATGAAGTGATAAACATTATCGAAGCCCATATACCTTAAGAGGAATGGTAATTAACCGAATTAGTGCGTTTATTAACTAAAGTAATTAAACCCTGAGTTCCACTTTAACAGTACCCACGTGATAACCCACTCAACCAATATCTCATTTCTAGCCTCTGCCACATGGAGTCATATTATTAATATGCATGTGTTGTGTAGTTCTCTATCGTGATTGAAGCGGATGTGTACAGTAGTGTTAATAACTTATAGAATATAATCATTATATACAATGCCGCATGCAACATATTATATACAACTACTGCACTGTATTCAATACACATTGCCACTGTCAAGTTTCAACAGGCAATTAGGTAGTCAATCCACTGTTTCGGTTTAGTCGTGGCTCTTCAAATTAACATTTTTTCTTGTTTTTCCTGCGTCGCTCTCTTGCTGCCGTCCCCACTCTCCTCCTCCTCCTCTTCTAACCTCCTCCAAACTGCTTCTTCTTTTCTTTTTTGTCTTCTTCATCTTCCTTCTCCTGCCTCCTTCTCTAGTGCAAACCTCCACCTCCTCTTTTTTTTTTGTTTTTAATATTTCCCTTCGCTCCTCAATCTTCTCTTTTTATTCTAAGATTCTTCTATACAACTACAATTCTCTCACTGCAAGTCCAAGTATCATCAACCCTTCCACAACACCACCGTGATACGGTAAAAATCTTTGAAACAAAACTGCTAGAAAGACACAATCGTATATCCGTATATTAGCACAGATTCACGCACGCAATAATCCACGTTTTCCGTTACCGTTGTCGTAAGGAGGATTCCGGACGGCTCTCTCAACCACCTGAACGACCTCTTCGTCAACATTTCATTCAACTTATCACAAAAAAGGTGTTGTAAATAACTCTTTCGAGTCCCCTGCCTGTAGCACGACACGCAACGAAACGAACAGAAACGACACAGTGCTCAAAAACGACGAATTCATCGTCCTTTTGTTGCAGTTAATCGAACTTCCACGACCAATTTTTTATTTTACGGCCCTTTTACGCTTACGGATCTGTTTTCAAACGCCCAAGTGAGTATAATGGAAAGCAATGCAGGAGCTATTATCGCCGCGTGCATTCTCGTGCTTGCCCAATCTGTCGGCATAAAAATGCGTAAATTGCGCCAATATGCTCATATCTCATAGGTTGTTTGTTTTAAGCTGTAGTTGTAGAGTATTTGTATGCTGACAGTGTGTGTGTGTGTGTGTGTGTGTGTGTGTGTGTGCGTGCGTGCGTGCGTGCGTGCGTGTGTGTGTGTGCGCGCGCTTGTGTGTACGCGTTCGTATGAGATCATTATACGTTGTAGTACAGTGTATTTATTGAAATGAAGATGTATACTTATAGACAAAAAATATTAAGTAAGTGATTAGTAAAAAAATGAGAGTAGAACCTAACTTCGCATTAAAAATGTTAGAATAATCAGTGTTATCAGTATAATAGAAAGATTACAAAGAGTAATTACAAACAAAGTTGTTTCTAAGCGTTTTTCCCCGAGCAACGCTGGGTACCAAGCTAGTTTCGAACAATTTCTCAGTTTCACAAGGGGAGATATCGGATTTGCGCATGCTCGTTCGCGCCGAAAACATAGAGCATGCGGCGAATTTATGCATTCAAATCATTTTCGGGCTATCCGCCTATAGGAAAACATGGTAAACTCCGGCGACCGCCTGCGTGTTTGCGTATTGCATAGCGCCATCTTTTTCGTATACGGCCGACGGCGATATGCACATAATATATCCCATGATCAGCACTGGACATGGTCTCCGGTCGACGATTTTACCGCCCGCACCTCTTTCCGACGTCGCCTCTGCGACGGGCTGACACGCTAGCGAAATTTTTTATTACATGCACCTGGTGCTGGCGACGTGCTCTCTAGAAACATTGCAGAAATTCAGCGAAATACTGCTTCCGTAATATACAATACAGTAAAATACAATAAGGCATCCAGTAAATTTCGTTATATTTGCGAATTACGCGTATTTGCGAATTGCAGAGCGCCGGTCGACGGCGATATGCACATAATATATATGTATATAGGATATGCTGAACATAGTCTCCGGTCGACGATTTTACCGCCCCGACCAGTCCTTTTTCCGACGTCGCTTCTGCGACGGGCTGAGACGCTAGCGAAAATATTTTTCGCATGCACCCAGGGGCGTGTACAGGAATTTGTGCCAGGGGGGGGGGTCTAACCGTAACCCAAAGTTGCTAGCACGCGAAGGAGGGGTCTGGAAATTTTTTGAAATTAGACCCCCTTAGATGCGTTTTCTGCGCCAGCAGGGGGGTTCCGGACCCCCTGGACCCCCTCCCCCCTGTACACGCCCCTGGCACCAAGTGCTGGCGAAGTGCTCTCTAAGAAAATTGCAGAAATTCAGCGAAATACTGCTTCCGTCGGCAACTCTTTTGGCTATATACACATTTCGAATAATTTCTCAGTTTCACACGAGAAATATCGGATAACACTTTATTACATAATCCTCGGGGTGTGTGTCTGTCCCGATACCATGTCATTAGACACACACGTACGTCGCACACACCCATATATATATATTATTAGCCCTTGACGCTTGTACACACGCACGCACACACACGCGCGTGCGCACGCACACACGCACACACGCACGCACGCACGCACGCACACACACACACGCACGCGCCCACGCACGCACGCACACACACACGCGCGCGCGACGCACGCACAAACACACACACACACACACACACACACACACACACACAC